CCTCCTCCTCCTCCTCCTCCTACTCCTTCTTTCTTCTTCTTTCTTCTTCTGTTGTCAATGGACCTTTATTTTTTATGTGGTGCTGAGAATTGAACTCTGCCTCACACATGCTAGGCAAGCACCCTACCATTGAACCCACAACTCCAGCCCCTCAGTTGACTTTTGAGCAACAGGTTATGYTCTCCTTCATGGTCACCCTCCTCTTTGTCTTCTCTGATACCACATTGCTCTTGCTTTCCTTGTTATCACTGTGGCCTCCTTTGGTCTCCTTGTGGAGCTTTCTCTATAATAACTGTACGTATAGCTGCTAAAGCATTCCTCAAGGCTTTCTTTAAATTTTTGTTTCCCCCCACTTGGTACTGGGGATTGAATCCAGGGGCACTCTCACTTTTATAAAGGTTCTGGATTAGGGGATAAAATTGTAATGTTCTAATTATAAGGTACTAGGAATTTGGCCTCTATCTTCCTCTCCAGCATCATCTTGAACTGTGTGCACTTGCTTTGCCCACTGCATTTTAGACATAGAATGTTATGTTCCCTTGCCCCATTTTCTTTCCTGTGTTAATTTTTTTTCTACTCTCAGCTATCTATCTCTGCAGGGAAACCTTGCCTGACCTTCTTAAGACAGATTAATTCATTTACTGGGTCTCATAGCACYTTCTACCTATTTTTTACAGTATTTATCACAGAATTTTACATGTGTATTGGATTCAAAGCTGTCCTTTACCAGACTGTGCTTGCTTATTGCAACTGATAAAAATGTCTGTTGAATGAAGAATGGAATGCAAGCCAGCTACCATAACTTCTTAAAAATTCTAACCTACTCTATATAACTCAGGTATATGAAGTAGCAATAAAGAGAGGGAAGCATTTTTATACTTCACCTTTAAAAGTATGGAGTAAGCTGGGAATATAGCTCAGTGGTAAAGTGCTTGCCTATCATGTGCAAGGCCCTGGGTTCAATCCCTAGTACTTAAATAAAAGAATGAAAATTAAGAAGTCAGCCAAGCTTGGTGGTGCATGCCCGTAATCCCAGGAATTTGGGAGGCTGGAAGCTGGAGGCTGAGGCAGGAAGATCACAAGTTCAAGGTCAGTGTAGGTAACTTAATAAGTTTCTCAGTAACTTAGTAAGACCCTGTCTCAAAATTAAAAATAAAAAGTATTGGGGATGTCACATAGTAATAAGGTGCCCCTGGGCTCAATCCCCAATACTAAGAAACAAAGCCTACAGAGTAACCAAATATACCCACTTTCTTTACATTTCTACTGTTTACAATAGAGGGTCCAACCTGTCAGCCTGTGAGTTGTACAAAATTTAGTTATTATTTACTGACCATATAGATTTTAAGAATAGAAGAAATTTTGTATGAAAATAAAGATTGCTGGTTTTGTTTAAATGTAATAGAGATCTGGCAAACTGGGCTGGCAAACCCACTTGATGTTAATTAATTACCTTGAAGTGGATGTGGCTATATTCTTTGAAATGGTCATTTGTGTCATCTGGCATAGTACTGCAAAAAGCATAGTCATTGAGCTGGCCGTGAAAGTCAGGGATGGTGGCACATGCCTGTAATCCTTCCTGCTATAGAGGCTGAGGCAGGAGGTTTGCTGAAACCCTGCCTCAAAGTGAAATATAGAAATGGCTGGGGATATGTATGTAAATCAGTGTAGAGTACCCCTGGGTACAATCATGAGTACTGCCCCCCCCCCAAAAAAAAATTGACTGCTCATGCCAGGCAAGCACTCTACCACTGATGTTGGGGATTGAACCCAGAGGCACTTTACCATGGAACTATATCCCTAGACCTTTTTATTTTTCATTTTCAGATAGGGTCTCGCTGAGCTGTTGGGGCTGGCCTGGAACTTGCAATTCTCCTGCCTCAGTCTCCCAGGTTGCTGAGATTACAGGTGTGCACTACTGCCCCTGGTTTTTTCATTTTAAGACTGTCCTGCTTGGGCTGGAGATGTGGCTGAAGCGGTAGTGCGCTTGCCTGGCATGCATGCGGCCTAGGTTCGATCCTCAGCACCACATACAAATAAAGATGTTATGTCCGCCAAAAACAAAACAAAACAAACAAAATATTAAAAAATTCTCTCTCTCTCTCTCTCTCAAAAAAAAAAAAAAAAACTGTCCTGCTAAGTTGCCTAGTCTGTCCTTGAACCTGTGATCTTCCTGCCTTAGTCTCCAGAATACCTGGAAATACAGGCATGTGTCATCCTGCCTTTCTTTGCATTTTAAAGTATGATTTTCAAAGAATACTACTGTCAAACGATGTTAATGATAATAGTAAAATATAACTAGCATTTGTAATATAGTTACTATATACCAGGCATTATGCAAAGTACTTTTCACTGATAATACACAGCAGCACTGTAATATAGGTACTTCTACCCTCATTTTACAGTTGAGGAAACAGTCTCATGGAGGTAAATAACTTGTCCAAAGTCACATAGCTAAGTAAGGGGGCAGGGAGGAATGAGAATAGAGGCATAAAATCTCTGTGCTTGATGTGCATTGTTTTTGGTGGAAAATTATACTGCATTTCATATGCTGTGAGGGTGTTAAACACCCATGTATGTATGCCACTGTGCTGGAAGCTGTAGACACCTATTTGCGTGTGAGTTTTTAATGAAATTTAGATGGGTGTTTGGTAATGCCTGGTGGCCATAGAGCTTGTACATTATAGTGAATCTTAGTAATCAGTTTTCTTTCTTTTTCTTCATCCCACAGTGTTAATTTTAAAGACCCTGAAGCAGTCAGAGCTCTGACTTGTACTCTCCTAAAGGAAGATTTTGGACTTTCTATTGATATTCCACTGGAAAGACTAATTCCCACAGTTCCGTTGAGACTCAACTATATTCATTGGGTGGAAGATCTGATTGGTCATCAGGACTCTGACAAAAGTACTCTCCGAAGAGGAATCGACATAGGTATATAGTTTTAAATTCTTTTGTGGCTAAACATAAGTTTCAAAAGTTTTGYAAGGCCAAATTCTTAATAAACTACTGAGTATTTGTTGTGTGAAAGAAGCTAGCCTAGTTTAACTACTGTTCTTATCCACTATACTTGGGCTTTTCTGCCGTAGATTTCTCCTGAGAAGGGGTTTTCGGCTCCAAACAGGGAGCAAGGTGGTAAAAGAGGTACAGGATGAAAGTGAGGCTCTTGTCAGTTTTGCAGATTTCCACATTGATTTCCATGACTGTTGGGCCTTATCTTTACTCTGAATCAATTGATGTTAGTATAGACATCGTCATACTGAAGTTTTATGGCAATGGCCAGTTAATAAAAGATCATACTGAATACTTTTGGGAATCTTTTGGGTGATTATTTGTAGAGAGGGTATTTAATCCAAGATTAAAGTCAGGAAAAAGTTGAGTTCATGTAAGATGTACTTATAAAGATGTCTTTTTCTCTCTTTCTTTCTTTCTTTCTTTTGAAATATTTTATTTATTTATTTTTATGTGGTTCTGAGACTCGAACCCAGGCCCTTGCATATGCTATGCCAGCGCTCTACCACTGAGCCACAACCCCAGCCCCTAAATTTCTTCTTTTTTTTAAAAAATTTTTTGTAGTTGGACACAATATCTTTATTTTACTTATTTATTTTTATGTGGTCTAAGGATCAAACCCAGGGCCTCATGTGTGCTAGGCAAGTGCTCTATTGCTGAGCCACAAACCCAGGGCATCTTTATTTCTTAATGGTTTGTTTTACTCACTGTTTTTATTTGATAGGGTTTTAATTTTTTTCTTTTAATCCTTTGTCCTTAACCAATTCTTTATAGGAAAGATTGAATTAACAACTCTGTGTCTGTTTCTAGATATAGTATAGTTAATGGTCACAATGGTAGTAAATGTGTAACTTTGACATTTGCTTGCATTTTCAGTGAACTCTTTGAGTCTTCATCTTACATGACCTTTTCAACAGCATTTTTTTTTGACTTCTCCTTTCTTTCACGCACTGTTCTCCATTTGCTTCCATGGCAACAGTCTCCTCTGGTTTTCCTTATTCATTTCTACTTGCTCTTCTTTCACTTTTCAGGCTTACTTTCCTGTTCTGACTGTTTGATACTGATAATCCTTATTTAAGGCCCAGTCTTTAGCCTTTTCTCATTCAGCACCCTACCCTAGCAATTTCACTCATGTCTGTGACTTTACTACCTCCATGCAAATAAGTCCCATATTTATATATTCTTTCAACTTGGATTGTTTTTTCTTTTCCTTTTCCCCACAACACCGTTATTCTATTTACTAAATGTAGTGCTAAGGATTGAACCCAGGGCCTCAAACTTGCTAGGCAAGCACTCTACCACTAGCTATAGCCCCAGCCCCATGGATTGCTTTTCCTTGACCTCTGATCTCATACACCTAAGAAACTTGGATATCTGAAAAATGTGCCAGACTTGCTATGTCCAAGACCAAAACATAGTGTTTCTTACTAGTCCCAGTATTTCAGTGAGTCTACTGCAATCCACTCTGTCATCCTTGATATTTCTCATTCTCACTGAGACTATTCTTCACTATTTCCTGTTGATTCTTTTGTTTGTCGGGGGACTGGGTCTTACTGTGTTGCCCAGGCTTATTTCAAATTCCTGGACTTAAGTGTTCCTTCTGCCTCAAWTTTTTTTTTTTGGTGCTTGAGCCTGAACCCAGGGCCTTGTTCATGCAWGGCAAGCACTCTACCAACTGAGCTTATATCCCCAGCCCTCTGGCTTTCTTAAGTCAATCTTTCTCCCTTCCTTCCTTCATTCCTTCCTCCCTCCTAGCCTCACACATATTAGGCAAGTACTGTACTACTGAACCACATCCCCAGCTCCCTTAATATTTCTTAAATCATCTACTTCTATCTCCACTGCCATCATCCCCAATCCAAGTTRTCATCATCTTTTACCTTATCTACAGGATAACTTCTCAGCTGGTATGCTGTCATCCACTCAATCATCCCTCCATTCTGTTCTCTGCCCTGCATTCATAAAATATCTATAACTCCACATCTGATTGCATTTTCACCACTTTAATGGGTTCTTAATGCTTTTGTGGTAAACACCCCAAACTTTGAATTGGCCTTTTAGATTTACCTTTGTATGATCCTTGCCTTCTTCTGAAGGCCTYTCTAAGCCCATCTTATATGGTTCTTTCCCTGTCCTACCCCTCCCTTTATGTACTAAGGTTGAACCCAGGGGTGCTCTACTACTGAGCTATATCCCTAGCCCTTTTTATTTTTTATTTTGAGAYAGGGTCTTATTAAGTGGCTGAGGTTGGCCTTGAACTTATGATCCTCCTGTCTCAGCCTCCTGAGTAGCTGGAATTACAGGTGTATACTATTCTCCCCAGACATTGCTTTGTTTTCTATCCTTTTTTTAGATTCTTCTAATAAGGCACCATAGCCCCCAGAACTTTGTATGTTATTTCCTGTGCCTGGAACTTCCCTCATCATCACCTTGTTTATTCTTATTTATATAATACTGTACATGACAACTCAAGWAAAGCTTTCTCTGACCTTCCAGGTTAACACAAGTTCCTTGGTTATAATCAGTGTTTCAGAAAGCCTTGTTTCTTTCTTCATGGCATTTATTTCAGTTTAAAACTGTACTGTTTTCAATTTTTTGACTAATGTTATTCTCTGCCGCTAGATTGCAAAGTAAGTTAATTTTCGGTTATTATAATATTCCAAAGCTAGCAAAGTTTCTGGCATATAATATTTGTCCAATAAATGATTTATTGAATGTTGCTGGATAAATACATCATTCTTTTCACATTCAAAATTTGAGCACTCCATATGAGCTTAAGCACTGTAAAAGCATTGGGATTTTTTCTTAAAGTTCTTACCCTTTTATATTCATGGCAGAGAACTGGTGGAAGGTTCTAGAAAGCTTTGATAGCTTAACAGCCTATTTGGTGCAAACTTGATTTTAATTATGCCCCAAACTCTCTAAAATAGCACTTGGGGATATAGGARGTTAATGGATTTTAGCTCTTCACAAGGGGCAATGCTTGCTGAAATCATATTCAATCTAATTAGGGTTTTATATAAATTCTTCCCCCAGACTCCATCAGTTTGCTCTAATTCTATGATTATTACTTTCCATTTATATTTATCATTATAAAGATTATTACCCACTTAAAAGATGTCATTTGTCTTTCTGAGGGCATTAGAATGTCAGAATGCAAGTTTTTTGGTCTTGAGAATTGAGACAAAACTTTTTTGGGGGTGGGCAGAGAGTAGATCTTTTACCTACATTTATTACCCTGGAGGTAAGCACACTTTTATTTGAAATGAAATTGTAGTATGAAGAGAGAGGCAATTGTATGAGAGTCAAGGGCCTGGAACCTGATCTGGATTTTTTTATTACAGAGCTGAAAGGGCTACTGACATTTTCTTATTCCAGATGACTCTGGTTCACTAGAATTGCCAGCAGAGCTAAATAATTGTGGGTTCTGAGAGGACCCTCCTTCCCTCCTCCACCTCTAATAAATCCCTGAGGAGTAGTTTGCCCAGACTGCTTAGGACCAGGAGACTTGGACAGCAGTCATTATGACCATCAAAGAGCTAAAATGTTGCAGCCATGAATCATCCTGTCTTTTCCTAACATGTTCAGAATATCTCCCTTGGGTTTCCTCTGGGTTAGGAGCACCTCCAGMCTCTAATGCTTCCTGCCAGATCACTAGGAACTAGACTGGAACCAGGATGTGGTCAGGGGAAAATAGATCTGAAGTGSCTGGTTTAGGCTGATTGCTGGTTTAGCCATTCAGGAGAAACACTGACTTTCCTTTTCTCAAATATACTCTCTAGGATCTAATTGGCTAAGATTAGACAGTGGTTTAAGGCAATATTTGTGGTTAGTATATAGACCAGTCCAGGACTAGTGATTCTTCATGTCAGTTTAGGACTGAACCCTAGTTGGTTAAAGAATAATTTTTGCCTGGAGCATTTATCTGTGAATATCTCCTTTGAATTTATGGTGGGGCTAGCCAAGACTGATGTTTTTGGATCCAAATGAAATATTTTTCCATGTTTCTGCATCTAAAAAAATGGTTGTCTTTAGTTTTGTTTGTTTAATTTTTTTCTTTAAACTTTTGATTTCATTCAGGTGACAATTTATGGAAATGTGGGGAATTGGACCGTCTGATGTTGTGAAAAATTTGCACCCTATATATTTTGTTCTGCTTTTTGGAGAATGGGATGTGTACATTGATCTGTTTTAAGATGTTGCTATGATATTTTAACAGATAGGATTAAAAAAAAAGAAAATTGAGTTTGTGTGAGATTTAAAATGACAACTTTTTTTTTTTTTTTTTGGTCATACCCAGGTTCACTACCCACTGAGCCACATCTCCAACTCTTTTTTATATTTTATTTAGACACAGGGTCTTGCTGAGTTGCGTAGAGCCTTGCTAAATTGCTGAAGCTGGCCTTGAACCTATGTTCCTCCTGCCTCAGCTCCTAAACTGCTGGGATTTTAGGTGTGTGCCACCTCACATGGCCAAAATGATGTCTTTTTTAAAAGCATTAAATTAAATTGAATTTGGACCATTTTTGCTTAGTCAGTTTTATATTTCTTGACCTTCATTGATGTAAACTTCATTTTACACACAACACACGAATGAGGAGGACAACAAGGGTTCTGTCTTCTATGGAGCCTAACTCTACTTACAAGTAGAGTTAACATATATGAAATAGAGAACCCAGGAGCCATAGTATGAACCAGTTTTTTATTTATGTGTATATATAAATATATACATGTATATATATATATATATATGTATATATTTCTCTCTCTCTCTCTCTCTCTCTCTCTCTCGTAGATGGATACGATATCTTTATTTTATTTATTTATTTATTTTTAATGTGGTCCCAGGGATGGAACTCAGTGCCTCATGCATGCTACGCAAATGCTCTGTCACTGAGTCACAACCCTGGCCCCCCAGCTTGTGATTTAAACTGTTAAAGCTATGAGAAATCTGAGAAGAGAAGAATGWTGTTCTCATTGTTATTTTCACGTTTCTTTCATGTGTAGAATATGTTCTAAATTTTTATTTTACTAGGTACTGGGGCATCCTGCATCTATCCCTTACTTGGAGCAACCTTAAATGGCTGGTATTTCCTTGCTACAGAAGTGGATGATATGTGTTTCAACTACGCAAAGAAAAATGTGGAACAGAATAACTTATCTGATCTCATAAAAGGTTAGCTCAACAGAATAAATTCCCCTTCAGGCTTTGTTTATTAATCTAAGTTAACATGTCTTGTTATCTTTGGCTTTAATATACAGACTTTAATAATTAAAAAAAATGACACATTGTAATTGGGTTTGCTGTTTTAATACCAGAATTTAAAAAAAAAAAAAAAAGTAAGTACAGTTGATCCACATTGTTTCTGGGTTCTCTATGAATTTTCCTACTTGCTGAAATCAGTTTATTTAAGTAGATTTTCTTGAATCTTTTTAATTTGCCGATGTCCATAAGTGGTTTTGGTTTGTATTTTAACATACTTTATTTTATAGAGAAATTCATAGCAAAATTTAGTGAAAGGAACCCTTGAGGTGCTAGTGACTGAAATTGCTGAGCCTGGCCTCAAACTTGTAATTCTCCTGTCTCTGCCTCTCAAGTAGCTGGGATTACAGGTGCACTACTGCACCTGGCAGAGACCTTCATGTATTTTGGATGGTAGTTTTTTATTACATATTTTTTGCAAATATTTTCTTGTAGCCTGGTACTTCTCTTTTTATTCTCTTGAATAAAAGCAAAAATTTTCATAGAGCAAAAATTTTAATTTTAATGAGGTCTAGCTTATTGATTCTTTYCTTTGTGAATCATGCCTTTGGTGTTTTATCTAAAACATCATTTCCATATCCAGGATGATCTAGATATTCTCCTATGTTATCTTCTAGGAGTTTTATTGCTTTGCTTTTTGTATTTAGTTCTGTGATCTGTTTTGAACTAATTTTTGTCAGAGGTCTATTTTTAGATTTTTTTTTTAACTTTCTTTTTTCACAGATTTTTAACCCCCGTGGTTTTTTTTTTTTTTTTTGTATGTGTGTGTGTGTGTGTGTGTGGAAGGGCTGGGGATTGAACTTGGGGCACTCAATCACTGAGCCACGTCCCAGCCCTATTTTGTATTTTATTTAGAGACAGGGTCTCACTTAGTTGCTTAGTGCCTCAATTTTGCTGAGGCTGGCTTTGAACTTAGTATCCTCCTGCCTCAACCTCCTGAGCTGCTGGGATTACAAGTGTGCGCCACCATGCCCAACTCTCCCATGTTTTTTTATTGGTGCATCATAGTTGCACATAATGGTGGGATTTATTATTACATATTTGCATATGCACACAATATAACAATATAATTTGGTCAATATTATTTTCCTTTCATTCCCTTCCTCCCTTGCCCTGGTCCCTTTCCTCTTCTCTGCTGACTTCCCTTTGATTTTCTTTTCCTTTTCCTCTCTAGCTTCCACATACGAGAGAAAACATGCCACCCCTGACTTTCTGAGTTTGGTTTATTTTGCTTAACATAATTGCATAATGTTTTTAATTTTTTCTTTTTAAAGAATTCAACCTTARTTTTATTATTTATTTATTTTTTATGTGGTGCTGAGGAATAAACCCAGGGCCTCACCTGTGCCATGCAAGGGCTTTAAACTGAGCCACAACCCAGCCCCATAACTTTTTTTTTTTTTTTTTTTTTTTTTTAA